AAAAAGTTTGTGGAAAGTGGACCCTGAAAAAAGTTTTGTGTATGGTTAGGACTGACTAAGTTTAAAATAAATTTAAGTTTACCTAAATGAGTTTAAAGTAAGCTGGTGCAAAACTTGAATTCAGCCTTTCTCTCTGTTAAGAGGACATACTTTCTTCAGCTGTTGAACTGCTTTTAATAATAGATTTAAGTTTCTTTAGCTCTTAATTGATCTATTCTATATTTACCTTTGAAACCTTTTGTTAACTTTGGCTAAGTAAACAACTATCATTTCACAGTGACTTATACGATCCTACCGGACTGAGTGTTATAAACCCTTTTGATATTTATCGACAAAACTTCCTAAATAACTTGACTTCTTGCTAACTTTGGGATGCTTCAGAGGCCCCTGAGACATCCCAAGGAGCTATTAAGCTACCTGGGTTCCTTGGACATGTTAAATCACATGAGAAGTACTGTTGAAGGGGTGATAAATCTTTTCAGGTTATACTGTATGGTTGATGTTACTAATATAGATAGCCTAAAATTATGTGAAATTCATATAGATCTGGTATTCCCTGATAAAATATGGTCAGTTATAATTTTAGTTATCATATTAAAGTGTTATGACCAGGTTTCTTTGTCAATTGCAATAGAATCAGATTTTAAACATGCCTTCTATGGTTTTACTCTCATGCTTTTAAAGAATACTGCTAGTTCTTCAAAATTTATGGAAAAGACTTTTTAAGATTAAGCAGATAAACAGATTTTGTTATTAACAGTAAACTGGTACCAGACTGGCATTTAGTCTTCTCTCTGTTTAGAGAATGATGTTTTTTTAGAGTGCAGCTTTTGATAACAGATTATGCATTTCTTTGCCTTTAAGTGATTTATATTTGTTTTTAAAATCTTTTTATTACTTTGGTAAAGTAAATAAGCATTATTTAAGATTATGGTACATGTAGACAAAGCTTATTCTGCTTCTACAAAAAATAACCCCTCACGGTTAGACTTTCGCTATCCTGATGTCCTTGAAACATGATGATAGTCTGCTCCTAAATCAGGAAATTAACAATGGACAGACAACAGCTGAAAATCAAAGAGCCAGGGCTAGGGGAAATCCAANGCTGACTGAAAGTTGGCCCTTGCCAGCTGCCCCTACAAAGATTAAATCATGACCACTACAAGATGCTGACCTTCAATAACCCCTTTGTTCAGGGCTCAGAGTTTGGAATGTTAACTCCTCTGGGCCTGCCAGCATGGAGAACTCAGAGAGTTCTCCAACTCTCTGAGTGTGGCGCTTGGTTTCTTGATTGCTGGTTTCTGCAACAGTATCACATCAGTATATTGGACACCAAAAATTTATACAATGTCCTATGTCAATTATAACTCATTTTTTAAAAAGTTTCCTTGACAAATTTAAATTGTTTCAGATGGATTTATTTTAAAATAGCAATCTATAATACTTAATGGATTTTAGTTTATGGTAATACTGTTGTATACAACAACATATATAACTAAAACACATAAGGGGTGGTTCAGTGGTTAAGAATCCATCTTGCAATGCAGGGGACATGGGTTTGATCCCCAGTCCAGGAAGATCTCACATGCTGCAGAGCAATAAGCCTGTGTGCCACAACTACTAAGCCTGCACTCTAGAACCTACGAGCCGCAACTACTGATTCAGCGTGTTGCAACGACTGAAATCCACATGCCTAGAGCCCGTGCGCCACATCAAGAGATGGGCAGTGAGAAGCCCATAAACCAAAGAAAAGAGTAGCCCCTCTTACACAACTAGGAGAAGCCCACCTAAAGCAGGGAAGACCCAACTCAGCCAAAAATAAAATAAATAAATAAAATGCTTTTTTAAAAAATATCAACAACAGCACAAGCAATAAATTAGTCAAATTAGCCAAAGTTTTCAAAAAAAGAAAATATTTGTATTTATGTTGGAGCAGTAACTATGCATCATTTGCCCTAAAGTTGAATCCAGTCTATCTCTATAAATTGAGTAGCAAAACATCTCATGTTAATGTAAACTGTTAAGAATATGGAAACAATTTCAAACCACACTGGAGAACCCTGAGCAGATCCTCCTTTGCAGAATATACTGCAGGTTTCCTGTTACCCCTTCACATATGTTTTTTCATTACAGTCTCACAGTGGGAGATCAGAGTAGATAAGCTCACATCCATCCCATCTGACAGAGGGGAAACTGAGGTTCAAGATGCTTGCATGATTCATCCAAGATCACACAATTTGGAGGGGCCAGACTTCTCCTGCAGGTCTTTTCTGATCCCCCGCCTTCTCCACCCAAAGCCTCACACACCACTTTCCAACAAGGGGTTTTACGGGTCCCCCATCTAAGGAGGACTAGCTCAGTTTCAAATAAAACACTCCAGGATCCTAAGAGCCTTTTAAACCACAGGTGAGCAGTTGTAACCCGCGGTGCACTGGAGCAAGCATCCTTGGGACATTGATGTAACATTTCTACAGATTCAGGACTACTTCATGATTTCAAAATAAGTTTTATTCTTGTTGGAATTCTGAGTAACTCTTTCACACTGAGCCAAAATACTCCCCACCCTTGGCAGCAAAACAGATCTGGGCAAGAATATAAGCTGGGCTCTTTCATTTTATTCATTAAAGGCCAACTTGGCCTCTGGTCCTACTGGTATCCAAATGGAAAAAGAGCCTGGAAAATGATTTGGTACCAACAATGAGTTGGGCACCCAATGTCTTCTGCAAACTTATTGTGATTCCTTAGGTTATCAATTTCCTGAACACAGGAAGTCTGTCCATCTTGCTCACCATCACACCTAGCACCTACATAGGACTTGGAAGATAAAATTTATTAACAGAAATTTCTTAGCCGGACCAATGTAATCTTCCCAAGTTACCAATGTAATCTGTGCTGAACAAGCCAGAATGTCATATGAAGTTTACTGTAAGAAATCCCACTACCTTCCAAAGCAGAGGGAAACAGTTTGTGAAAAACTGTATTTGAAGTCAGGATGACCTGGCTTTAATTCTTGCATCCCATTTTCCACCTAATTATATGAATGTTTTATAGATATCATTCTAGATCTGTCTAAATAATAGGATGTTCAGAACTGTAACATTTAAGATCAGAAAACTTTAGATACAATCATTAATAAAGAACTGTTAGGTTCATGAACACAGTGAGGAAAGGAAAAGATGGCAAGAATTGAGAGAGCAGCGTGGAAACATACACACTACCATATGTAAAATAAAAAGTGGGAATTTAATGTATGACTCAGGGAGCTCAAACCAGTACTGTGATAGCCTAGAGGGGTGGGATGGGGTGGGAGATGGGAGGGAGCTTCAAGCAGGTGGGAACATATGTATTCCTCTGGCTGATTCATGTTGATATATGGCAGAAACCATCACAATATTTTAAAGCACAAAATTTTAAACTAAAAAAACTGTTAAACAAAATCTTGGTTCCTTTATACATGGAACACAAAACAGCTATTTAAGCCATTTGATCCTTGTATTTCATTGTCATCCTCTCTCCCTGGGGATCCCATTCAGTATCATGGTTTTATGTACCTTGTGCACACAGGTAATTCTCAAATTCTTGTATTTACCCCATCCAACTCTCTACTCAGTATCTCCAAGTGGATAACTAGAAGGCATCTCAAATTTAATCCAACCTTTGGATGTTCTTGTTGGCATTATCATCCTTTCTCTCTCTCTCTCTCTCTCTCTCACACACACACACACACACACACACACACACACACACTTCATTCTCCTACAGTCTATTTTTTCTTAGAAACAGCAACTCAAAATTCAGTCCCTTGGAATCTTACCTACTCAAATACCATGGATCCCCTTCCTAAACATACTAAACAAATAGAACGCTCTTGGCCATGTCTTTCTCTCTTGACTTGCTTTACTTGACTCCCATGTGCTTATTACAACCTAACATATTGGACTGGCTTATTATTGGCATATTAGCTTATTGGATACTGTCTGTCTCTGCCCAGTAGAATGTTGCTTTGGGGAGGTCAGGGATACCCAGTCCATGTTCACCATGGTATTCGTTCACAGCCTGTGGTGCATGTGTGCATGCTTCAGTTGTGTCCAACTCTTTATGACCCTATGAACTGTACCCCACCAGACTCCTCTGTCCATGGGATTCTCCAGGCAACAATGCTGGAGCAGCTTGACATGCTCTCCTCCAGAAGATCTTCCCAACCCAGGGGTCAAAACTGTGTCTCTTACAGCTCCTACCTTGGCAGAGGGGTTCTTTACCACTAGTGCTAGTTATTTTAGAAAACTGACAGTAAAATGAAGGTAACTGTGATGTTCAATTTTTGTTTGTCAAATTGGATGAGCAAAACATTTTTTCAGGTTCCTTAATACTGTTGGAGTGGGAGTGAGGTGCCATGTGTCCTTACACAAGCACTTTAATAGGTGAATTTTATGAAATGTGAATTATATTTCAACAAGGTTATTTGGTTAAAATTTTAAACTAGGGGCTGCCCTGGTGGTCCAGTGGTTAAGAATCCACCTTGCAACATAGGGGACATGGGTTTGATCCTTGGTCTGGGAAGATCCCACATGCCACAGGGTGGTTAAGCTCATGTGCCACAACTACTGGGCCTGAAAAACTACTGAAGTCCGCACACCCTAGAGCCCATGCTCTGCAGCAAGGGAAACCACTATGATGAAAAGCCTGTGTACCACAACTAGAAGTATCCTTACTTGCCACGACTAGAGAAAATCTGCGCACAGCAATGAAGACCCAGTGCAGTCAAATATAAATAAATAAATCTTTTTTAAAAAATTGAAGCTAATGGGAGGCACACAGACCATGAGAGGAAAAAGGAAAAAAAGATTAACATTTACTGAGCACTTACTATGTGATAAGTGTCACACACACATACACATCTTTACACCAATCTTACAAGGTAGCTTTGATTAACCCCATTGTATAGATGAGGGTGTGGTCATCCTTCCACCATAATCTGAAAGCACCTCCACCCCAGCCACTCAGATGCTGGAGGGGTAGAGATTGCTGAAGAAGGTCTTCTTCATGGCAATCTTCAGCTCCTTGTTCCTGAGGCTGAAGATAATGGGGCTCAGGAAGGGAGTGAGGACCGTGTAGGTGATGCCCATCAGCGTGTCTCCTTCCAGAGACTGGGGCCCCTTGGGCTTGAGGTAGATGACAGAGGCAAAGCCGTAGTGCACGACCACCACGGTGAGGTGGGACGCGCATGTGGAGAAGGCTTTGTGCCGAAGGGCCAGACTTCTCCTGCAGGTCTTTTCTGATCCCCCGCCTTCTCCACCCAAAGCCTCACACACCACTTTCCAACAAGGGGTTTTACGGGTCCCCCATCTAAGGAGGACTAGCTCAGTTTCAAATAAAACACTCCAGGATCCTAAGAGCCTTTTAAACCACAGGTGAGCAGTAGTAACCCGCGATGCACTGGAGCAAGCATCCTTGGGACATTGATGTAACATTTCTACAGATTCAGGACTACTTCATGATTTCAAAATAAGTTTTATTCTTGTTGGAATTCTGAGTAACTCTTTCACACTGAGCCAAAATACTCCCCACCCTTGGCAGCAAAACAGATCTGGGCAAGAATATAAGCTGGGCTCTTTCATTTTATTCATTAAAGGCCAACTTGGCCTCTGGTCCTACTGGTATCCAAATGGAAAAAGAGCCTGGAAAATGATTTGGTACCAACAATGAGTTGGGCACCCAATGTCTTCTGCAAACTTATTGTGATTCCTTAGGTTATCAATTTCCTGAACACAGGAAGTCTGTCCATCTTGCTCACCATCACACCTAGCACCTACATAGGACTTGGAAGATAAAATTTATTAACAGAAATTTCTTAGCCGGACCAATGTAATCTTCCCAAGTTACCAATGTAATCTGTGCTGAACAAGCCAGAATGTCATATGAAGTTTACTGTAAGAAATCCCACTACCTTCCAAAGCAGAGGGAAACAGTTTGTGAAAAACTGTATTTGAAGTCAGGATGACCTGGCTTTAATTCTTGCATCCCATTTTCCACCTAATTATATGAATGTTTTATAGATATCATTCTAGATCTGTCTAAATAATAAGATGTTCAGAACTGTAACATTTAAGATCAGAAAACTTTAGATACAATCATTAATAAAGAACTGTTAGGTTCATGAACACAGTGAGGAAAGGAAAAGATGGCAAGAATTGAGAGAGCAGCGTGGAAACATACACACTACCATATGTAAAATAAAAAGTGGGAATTTAATGTATGACTCAGGGAGCTCAAACCAGTACTGTGATAGCCTAGAGGGGTGGGATGAGGTGGGAGTTGGGAGGGAGCTTCAAGCAGGTGGGAACATATGTATTCCTCTGGCTGATTCATGTTGATATATGGCAGAAACCAGCACAATATTTTAAAGCACAAAATTTTAAACTAAAAAAACTGTTAAACAAAATCTTGGTTCCTTTATACATGGAACACAAAACAGCTATTTAAGCCATTTGATCCTTGTATTTCATTGTCATCCTCTCTCCCTGGGGATCCCATTCAGTATCATGGTTTTATGTACCTTGTGCACACAGGTAATTCTCAAATTCTTGTATTTACCCCATCCAACTCTCTACTCAGTATCTCCAAGTGGATAACTAGAAGGCATCTCAAATTTAATCCAACCTTTGGATGTTCTTGTTGGCATTATCATCCTTTCTCTCTCTCTCTCTCTCTCTCTCACACACACACACACACACACACACACACAGCTCTGTGCTGGAAGTGAGTAACCCCTCTCTCTCTCTCTCTCTCTCTCACACACACACACACACACACACACACACACACTTCATTCTCCTACAGTCTATTTTTTCTTAGAAACAGCAACTCAAAATTCAGTCCCTTGGAATCTTACCTACTCAAATACCATGGATCCCCTTCCTAAACATACTAANCATACTTAACCATACTTATGGCAATAAAGATTAATGAAGTTCTGCTACATTCTACAACATAGAAGAACCTTGAACTATGTGCTAAGTTAAAGAATCTACTCAAAGAGACCACATTGTGTATGATTCCATTTATATGAAATATCCAGAACAGGCAAAACAGACAAATCAGATAAGACATTTCCTAAGTCTGGGAGGTAAGGGCATCGGGAAGAAGTAGGAAGTGATTGATGAGAAAGGAAGGGACATGGGTTTCTTCACAGAGTGACAAAACTATTTTTAAATGATTAAGGTGACAACTGTATAACTCTATAAATATACTAAAGGCCAATTAAGTTGTGTACTTTCAATATGTGAATTATAGCTCAATAAAGCTGTTTGATTAAAATCCAAAATTATCAGACACAGAGACCAAGGCAGGGGGAGGAAAAAGTTAATATTTATTGAGCACCTACCCAGTAGGTGATAGGTGCTATCACACACACACACACACACACACACACACACACACACACACACCAGTCTTTACAACAGCCATGCAGGGTAGTCATTATTAATCCCCTTTACAGATGAGGGTATGCTCATCTTTCCACCATATTCTGACCACCTCCACACCAGCCACTCAGATGCTAGAAAGATAGAGTTTGCTGAGGAAGGTCTTCTTCATGGCATTCTTCAGCTCCTTATTCCTGAGGCTGAAAATGATGGGGCTCAGGAAAGGTGTGAGGATCGTGTAGGTGATGGCTATCAAGATGTTGCCTTGCTGAGAGTGGAGACCTGTGAGCTTGACATAGATGACAGAGGCGAAGCTATAGTGCACAATGACCACAGTAAGATGAGATGCACAGGTGGAGAAGGCTTTGTGCCGGCCCTCAGCTGAAGGGATCCTCAAGATGGCGGCCACGATGAAGGCGTAAGACAAGAGGATGAGGAGAAAGCAACTCAACAAGACCATGCTACAGACTAGGCCCACCCCCAGGGCCACTCCTGGTACTCTATTTCCACAGGCTAACTTCACTAGCGGGGGCACATGGCAGAAGAAATGATGGACCTTATTGAGCCCACAGAAGGTGAGATGGAAAATGGCAGATGTCACCAGCAACCCAATGAGTAAGCCACCAACCCAGGACCAGGCCACCAGGCAGGCGCAGCCTCGGGGGCTCATGAGCACGTTGTAGCGCAGGGGGTGGCAGATGGCCACGTAGCGGTCATACCCCATGACGGTGAGCAGGAAGGAGTGGGTGAAACCCAACATGAAAGAGAAGAACATCTGGCTGGCACAGGCCATGAAAGAGATGGAATGGTCGGTGGAGAGCAGGTCGGCCAGCATGCGCGGGATGATGGCGAAGGTGTAGAGGATCTCTGAGATGGAGAGGGCACACAGGAAGAGGTACATGGGGGTGTGGAGGCTGCGCTCGCTCCAAACGGTGGCCATGATGAGCAGGTTCCCCAGCAGTGTGAACAGGTACATCAGCAGGAAGAGCAGGAAGAAGACAGGCAGGAGATGCTGAGGGAAGGTGGAGAAGCCGATGAGGATGAATTCAGACACGGAGGTGTAGTTTAGCCCCAACATGGCAGCATACCTGCTTGAGGAGAAAGTGTAAAAGATCCAGTGGGAAGGAATTTACAGTCTCTAATGAGCCCTACCTGGGAGGACTTCCCAGAGAGGCTCCTTCACCTCTCCAAGCCATAGTTAATCCATCTGCAAAATGGTGTTCATAATAATGGTGTTCATAATAATGATCATGCATCTCAAGTGCCCTAACACACATACTGCCACATAGCAAGAACTTAATTTTAAAAATACTGATAATAACTATAAGACTACTATTATTATTATAATTAACTCCATGCAGGACCACCCCCACCATGCTTTTCTGTCTTTGAGCATGCTGGTCACACTGTGCTTATCCCCATCTTCATGAGACCAACTTCTTCATAAATTTGAAGGTCAGGCTACTCCCTAATTTCAACTTTCAGCTAGAAGCCAACTCTCCCCTACAACATGGAAAGGACCCAGGCTTGGTTTATTTCTCACCACCCCTCCTTCCCAGCTCACCTGAAAAACAAGTAATATTCCTTTTTCCATAGAGCTTCTGTGGTGCTTAAATGAGGTGATGGACCTTAAAGCTCTTAGCTACTACTGCTGTGTGGTCTAACTTGCATGCGTCCCTCACAGGACGTGGTCCTGTTCTCTGTAGAGTCCTGTTCTCTGATCCCCGCTGGGCTCTCTTTCTCTGATCACTTCCCAGGGCTGTTCTCTGAAGCTCCTTGCCTCTTTTCAAGTTCCATGCCACTCTCCTATCAATAACCTTATGCTTCATGGAGAAGCCAAGACTTGGCTTCTCTCATCTCCCTCCTTGAGTGGCAACAGTCATATCTGTCCCAGCTCCCTGTGAGGTCCACTCTTCTTCCAGGCACCTCCTCCATCAGCTGTTCTTCTCTCTCTCCCTCTGGTTCTCTCTTGCCCTCTGGTTCTTGCTTTCTCTGCCACAAGGAAGCTTGATGCAAAATAAAATACTTTTTAAAACTGGAAAGTGCATTAGTAAGTGAGTGGATGAACAAAATGAGCTATATCACTACAATGGAATACCATTTATCCATACAAATGAATAAAGAACTGACACATACTACTACATGGGTGACCCTTAAAGAATTTACGCTGAGTGACTATTTACAATAGCTAGGACATGGAAGCAACCTACCTGTCAATCGACAGATGAATGGATAAAGAAGTTGTGATACATATATACAATGGAATATTGCACAACTATGAAAATGAATGCATTTGAGTCAGTTCTAATGAAGCAGATGAACCTAGAGCCTATTATACAGAATGAAGTAAGTCAGAAAGAGAAAGATAAATATCATATATTAATGCATATATATGGAATCTAGAAAGATAGTACTGATTATTCTACTTTTAGAAGGCAGCAGAGGAGATGCAGACATAAAGAACAGATTTTAGACACAGTGGGGGAAGGAGAGGGTGCAATGATTTGAGAGAATAGCATTGAAACATATACATTACTATGTGTAAAATAAATAGCCAGTGGTAATTTGCTATGTGAGGCAGAAAATGCAAATCTGGTGCTCTGTGATAACCTAGAGGGGTGGAGTGGGGAGGTACATGGAAGGTTTAAGAGAGCGGGGACATACGACTACCTAAGACTGGTTCATATTGGTGTATGGCAGAAACCATCACAATGTTGTAAGTAATCATCCTCCAATTAACAATTAAAATTTTAAAAAAGAATTTATGCTGAGTGAAAGAGGCCTGTCACAAAAGGTCACACATCATTGTATGATTCCATTTATTTGAAATATCAAGAATAGTAAACACATTAAGATAGAAAACAGGTTAATGGTTGCCAGGGAATGAGGACAGGTTTAATAGCGAGTGATTGCTAATGGGTTAAAAATTTCCTTTCGGGGTGGTGAAATGTCTTGGACCTAAATGGAGGTGATCAGTTCAGTTCAGTTCAGTCACTCAGTCATGTCCAACTCTTTGCAACCCACGAACCACAGCACACCAGGCCTCCCTGTCCATCACCAACTCCTGGAGTTTACCCAAACTCATGTCCATTGAGTCAGTGACGCCATCCAACCACCTCATCCTCTGTCATCCCCTTCTCCTCCTGTCCTCAATCTTTCCCAGCATCAGGGTCTTTTCAAATGAGTCGGCTTTTCGAATCAGGTGACAGAAGTATTGGAGTTTCAGCTTCAACATCAGTGAACAAATGAACACTCAGGACAGATCTCTTTTAGGATGGACTGGTTGGGTCTCCTTGCAGTACAAGGGACTCTCAAGAGTCTTCTCCAACACATAATATATATATAAATATATATTAGTATACCTAGCTAATATATGTTTATTTAGCATATACAAACACAAAAACATGCATACAGTTTTATTTATTACACCAAACACACCCAAGAAAAAAAAAAAACCCTAAAAATATGGAATTGTCATTGAAAAGAACCTTGGGTAAGGCCGTAAAAGAAGTCTAGGTAAATTATCAATACTTATCAATACTTGTCAGTATTGCAAAGACCCAGAGCACATGACCACATTACAGTAAACTGGAAATTAATATGAAGAGGATACCTGAAAGTTCCCATATATTTTAAACACAATTTAAGATTATATCATCTGACATTTTCATACATAGTCAGACAAAACTAACAGATAAAAGGAAAAATAAGAATTACTAAGAACAGAATGATGAGATATCGAAATGACAACTAAACAAAATGGTTTATGTTGTGGAATTTTAAAAAAGAATATTAGTGTAAAAACTAAGAAAAATCAAATAAGATCTATTATTTGCTATATAGTATTACACAACTGTTAGTTTCCTGGGTCTAATCATTGTACTGGCATTGTGTAAGATGGAAGTTGGATGAGGGGGAGTCCAAGAATTTTCCAGGTTACTTTTGAAAAATTTTTGTAAGTTTAAAATTAGTAAAACAAACAAGTTACCATTCAAAGGAACACAAAACTCCAAGTATCTTGGAATCAATTTAAGTATGTGCATACAGACTTCCATAGAGAACATTAAACATGTTACAATAGGACACAGAAATAACCTAAATGTCCATCAACAGAGGAATGGATAAAGATGTGGTACATGCATACAATGGAATATTACTCAGTCATTAAAAAGAATGAAATAACACCACTTGTAGCAGCATGGATGAACCAAGAGACTGTCATACTGAATGAAATGAGAAGGAGGAGAAATATATGATATAGCTTACATGTGAAATCTAAAAAGAAATGATACAAATGAACTTAAAACAAAGAGACAGACTTAGAGAATGAACTAATGGTTGCTGGGTGGAATGATGGAAGGAAGGGATAGAGAGTTGGGGATGGACATGCACACACTGCTAGATTTAAAATGGATAACCGGGCTTCCCTGGTGGTCCAGTGGATAGGAACCCACCTGCCAATGCAGAAGACATGGGTTCTATCCCTGATCCAGGAAGATCCCACATGCCTCAGGGCAAGGCTATGTGTGCTACAGCTACTGAGTCTGTACTCTATAGCCATAACTACTGAGCCCATGTACCACAGCCACTGAAGCCCGCACCCCCAGAACCCATGATCTGTAGCAAGAAAAGCCACCCCACTGAGAAGCCTGGACTTCACAATGAGAGAGTAGCCTCTGCTTGCCGCAACTAGAGAAAGGCCTTGCAACAATGAAGACCCAGCACAGCCAAAAATAAATAAACAGAATTTTAAAAAATAAATACACAAAATGGATAACCAACAAGGGCCTACTGTATAGCACAGAGGACTCTGGTCAATGTTATGTGGCAGCCTGGATGGGAGGGGAATTTGAGAGAGAATGGACACATGGGTACATATAGATGAGTCCCTTCTCTTTCACCTGAAATATCACAACATTGTTAATTGGCTATGCCCTAATACAAAAAAAAATGGTTTTTTAAAAATAAAAGTCAAAAAACAATTAAACATGGTAGACATNGGGGAATACATGTAAATCCATGGCTAATTCAATGTATGACAAAAACCACTGCAATGCTGTAAAGTAATTAGCTTCCAACTAATAAAAATAAATGGGGAAAAAAAAAAGAAATAAAACCAGCTTGAACATCTGGAAGTTCACGGTTCACAAAAAAAAAAAAAAGAATAGCTATCGATAAATAATTAAGTCCACCTTGAAGTGAAGAGTAAAAGTGGTGGGGAAGAATTGCCTTCTAAGATACTGAGGCATTCTACAAAGCCTTGCAAATAAAGCAATGTAGGATTAGTACAAGGACAGACAAACAGATCAGTGGTTCAGAAGCTCTGAACAACAGATTGGGGGAAAAAAACAAACTTAGAATCCATGGAACAACATGGATGGCTCTTAAAAATAACACTGGAAAATCAGAAAAAATAGCATGCTTCCAGCACAATATATTGTATCACTGTCCAAACAGTATGTGCATCAATATACATTTTTCAAGAATTCATGCAAACAGAAGGATACACATTGAAAAAATTAACACAGCTACTGGTCAGGGATAGGGATCAGAAATAGGACATGATGATAAATGGGAATAAATAACATAGGATCACTCTGCAAGTCAATGTTAGTAAAACGTCATCAGCGAAAGAGATTTGATTATAACTTCAAGCTCTAAAGCTTAAGTCTAATAAAAATTTGTGAAGGTACACTTATATATTTACACTTACATATGTTTCAATCAATGGTATATATATATATGCTTCCCAGGTGGCACAGTGGTAAAGAATCTGCCTGCCAATGCAGGAGGTGCAAGAGACGTGAGTTCAATTCTGGGTCTGAAAGATACCCTGGGGAGGAAATGGCAACCCATTCCAGTTGGAATTCATAGAAAAGTCCATGAATAGAGAAGCCTGGTGGGCTACAGTCCATGGAGTCACCAAGAGTTGGATACGACTGAACAACTAACTTTTTCATTTCATGCCAGGTGCTTTACATATATTATTTCATCTTTTTTTTCCTTGACAAATCCTGTGAAGTATTTCGTGTTAATCTCATTTTTAAAATGGAGATTTTTGAGGCTTATAAGGGTTTT